CCCGACGATGAGGAAGCTGAGGTCGAGGAGGAACCACATCAGGAAGAAGAGATTGAAGCCCTCCATGAGGAGCCTGAAATCTCGATGCATGCAATGGCTGGAATTAGAGGACCAAGGACGATGCGTCTACCAGCATGGGTCAAGGATAGAAGAGTAATTGCACTCGTAGACAACGGATCGTCTCATAACTTCATCAATACTGAGTTGTCTGAAAAGTTGAAGTTGCCAACCACAAAAATCGAGCCCTTCGAAGTCCAAGTAGCCAATGGAGAAAGGCTACAATGTACTGAGTCATTCTGGAAGGTGCCAATCAAGTTTAACGGAGTTACTGTGAAGGCCGATCTCTACGCATTACCTTTAGTTGGACCTGATGTCGTCCTAGGAGTACAGTGGCTCGAAGGGTTAGGCAAAGTGACCACCGACTATCGAACAAGAATTATGGATTTCAACTACGGAGGTCAGCAAGTCACTCTGAGTACTGCAATGAAAAAGGTACCAAGGAAGTAGGACTGAAAAGCATCAAAAGAATTTGGCGAGGTGGCGGCCAATTTTTTGCAGTAGTGGTCAAGAACCCTAAGGCGCACATAGACCAAGATGAGCAACAACAAGGTGATGTGCACGAACTTCTTGAGGAATTCGAAGGAGTACTAGGCGAGCCTAAGGGACTACCACCGCACCGAGAGTTCGATCATCGCATACCACTGATCAATGAGCAGCACGCCATACACGTTCATCCTTATAGGTATGCTCACTTTCAGAAAACCGAGATCGAACTGCAAGTGGCCGAGATGCTTGAGTCAGGACTAATCCAGCACAGCAAGAGTCCGTTTTCTTCTCCAGTCCTGTTAGCCAAAAAGAAAGACGACACGTGGAGGTTCTGTACGGAGTACCGAGCTTTGAACGCTGCAACTATCAAGGACCGATTTCCTATCCCTAGCGTTGATGACATGCTCGATGAGTTAGCCGGGTCTTGTTATTTCTCTAAGCTCGACCTGAGAGCTGGTTACCATCAGATTCGACTCCACAAGGCTGACATTCTGAAGACAGCATTTCGTACGCACCAGGGGCACTATGAGTATCTGGTTATGCCATTCGGATTGTGCAACGCCCCATCCACTTTCCACTTTGCTATGAATTCTATCTTTAAGGAGTATCTGCGTAAGTTTGTTCTGGTATTCTTTGATGATATCCTGATCTATTCGAAGTCGTGGGACGAACATCTAAGGCATTTGAGAGTAGTGCTCGAAATTCTGGAGGCCAACTCGTTCCACATCAAGCCATCCAAATGTTCATTCGGGCAGAAGATGGTTGAGTATCTGGGGCATTTCATATCACACGAAGGCGTGAAGGTTGATCCACGAAAAATTGAGGCTATGGTCGATTGGCCTAAACCAACAAGTCTCACGCAATTGAAAGGATTTCTAGGGCTCATGGGCTACTACAGAAAGTTCGTGAAGGATTATGGAACTATCGCCAAGCCATTGACAGAGATGACTAAGAAAGGCGGGTTCACGTGGACCAAAGCTAGCGAGGAGGCGTTTGGGAAACTGAAGGAAGCCATGACTATAACGT